GAATCTTCGCCCTATCAGTAATCTGACATTTACATCTAAATTAACAGAACGTGCTGTTTTTAATCAGACAAATGACTACTTGAATTTATACCAACTTTATCCAAAGGCACAATCGGCTTATCGCAAGTATCATAGTACGGAAACGGCCTTACTACGTGTTAAGCATGATATTTTAATGAACATGAACCGTCAGCATGTTACCTTACTCGTAATTTTGGATCTGAGCGCTGCATTTGACACTGTCGACCATCATATAATGCTCGAACGACTGAAATCCAGTTTTGGCATCCAAGACCAAGTACTTAAATGGTTTACCTCCTATCTTTCTAACCGTTCGCAATTCATCTCTGTAAATGCTGGTACATCTAAGCGTTTTGAACTAAAAAATGGCGTACCTCAAGGATCGTGTCTTGGCCCACTTCTGTTTGTTTTATACGTGTCCAAATTATTCAAGATTTTGGAAAGTCACTTACCCGATGCCCATGCTTTCGCCGATGACAATCAACTGTACGTTTCATTTCAACCAGATTCAATGTCTGAACAACTGTCTGCGGTTACTGTCATGGAAAATTGTATTGATGATATTAAAACATAGATGCTAAACTCAAACTTAACGACGGTAAGACTACTTTATTATTGGTACACGACAACAGCTCGAAAAAGTCAATTTTGATACTTTGCGTATTGGCGATTCTTATGTCACAGCGTCTAGTGAAGCTAAAGATCTAGGATTTTGGCTTGATTCCCAAATGAAATGTGATACCAATGTGAACAGATCCTGCAAGGCGGCGTTTTTCCACCTATTCAACATCAGGAGGATAAGAAAGTTCCTGACACATGAAACCGCTCAAATACTAATTAATTCATTTGTGACAAGTCGTTTAGACTATTGTAACAGTTTGTACTATGGTTTGCCTGCGAATCAGCTTAACAAATTTCAACGTGTGCAGAATGCAGCAGCGAGATTAATATGTAACGTGTCACGGTTTGATCATATAACTTTGATTGATTTACATTGGCTTCCAGTAAAGTTTAGAATAGATTTCAAAATTCTACTGATTGTTTTTAAAGCACTTCATGGATTGGCACCTGACTATATCTCTGAGCTTATAACTATCAAACCTCCATCGTCTTATAGCATGAGATCGAATTCGAAACTCTTGCTCCAGAAGACTACCCTCAAAACGTTACCGACTCTTGGTGATCGTTCGTTTGGATGTGCAGCGCCAAACTTGTGGAATGATTTACCTTCACGCATTCAGCAAGGTGATTCCATTGGGAGCTTCAAGAAACTCTTAAAGACACACTTATTTAGGAAAGCTTATTATAATATTTAATAACAAAATAATGTGATTTTATCAATAATAATATATCTTTTACGAAACTAATAGTATATTTACTCTATACTGATTATGAATGAATAGTCTGGATTGTCTTAACTAGCCTATCTTTTATCTTTCATGTAAATATTTAGATTTTGTTTTTATATTATTGTTATGCGCATGTGAGCATGTTTGAATGGAACGTAAGTTGCGCAATAGAAATTAAATTATTATTATTATTAAGACTCCTGTTTCTTCACTTTACATGATATGAAGTCGAAATTTATTGGACGCATTGACAATGCTCTCCTGAACATTCTACTTTTGTGTTGAAAGTCTGTTACCATGGCAACAGCATGCTTAGAATAAAGTTCAAAATGTTGTCTTTTTCAGGCCATTTTAAAAATTCCCCTTTTTAATTTTTTTTTAAAACTTTGCACAAAAGATAATACTGATGTGTTTTTTTTTTCAAGTTTAATAATTTATATCGATACGTTTCTTAGAAAATTTAAAAAACGTCAAAAATCAATATTAAACATTTTCCCTTCGATAGAATTTTAAGGAAAAAAGGATATTGCACTTGTTCTGCCGATATTAAGAAATGTGCAAAGTTTTAAAAACATTTACCGAAGGAAAAGGGAGAAATTTAGGTTTAATATTGGCATTTTTTTGTACATGCATTTCGTAAACAACAAGGCATGCATGGTTTTTTAAAATTACAAAATAGTAAATTATGTTTGATTTTACTGTTTTACTGTGTCGGTTAATGGTCAACTGAGCGTGGATTATTACATGTAAAATTGGCAGATATATTTAGGTAATTACTGGTTATGACTTGTTGGTATTAATTTGAAAATGTTTGTCAAAATTCGTCCCATGCGAGTTGTTACTATCGTGCGATGTTTTCGCAAAACGCTCGTTCAAATTTCAGTTTTTATTTAAGTCACCTTTATTGTCATAAGTACTGCTAGATTGTGCAGAAAACATTGGAAATACTTGAGGAAACTTTATATCATGCATATCCCAATGTTCGCGATGCGACCCTGGCGTACGGCGGTCAAAAACGTCCAGAATACTGCTTGAAAAAAAAAATTACATTATCTTCTTCTAAAACATCACATCCAAGTATCGTTGTGGATTTTAGAACTCTTTTTGTGTTTTTAACTGAAGCTTTGGTTCACACATTTGTTTCAAAAAAGAGTTCCATATAAAACACAACGTTCGTTCGTTTTTCAGTCACACGAGTTTTATAACACGCGTAGTTTACATTTATACGAAGAACGTAACCCCCGGGAATAAAACCCTTTTACGTTTCTCTCTTACCGATTTAATTGCATCCCTGCCTTTCCTCTACTGCAACCCGTATTCACATGCTACTATTCTCGCCTCTCAATTATCCCACTCTTGCAACTTACACTGTCTTGCTAACCCTTCATCTTCTTTCCCCATCCGACATGGTATTCTCTACTGATACCACAGCCTTCCGTTTATCACCAAGTGGTTGTTGGCTCTTTATATCTCTAACTTTCCTTCCAAGTTTGAACGCCCTTGCGAACCGATGTTTCCTATATAGCTAGCCTCTTGAATATCCTATATGAACGATAACCCTCGTATATAGGATATACTGATAGCCCCTCTATACTCTTCTTTCACTTCTGCCGATTCTCGTGTTTCTTTCTCTTTACACTCCTGCATATACTTTCTAACCTTCCCTTTCTCATAGTCATTCGTTTGTGACCAACAGCAATTCCTGTCCCAAATGCTGTTTATTTAGCTTTGCCAACTAGGGCAGGGTCACCACAACAGCATATGCCAATTACTGTGGGCCCTTTTTACCTAACCCACCCTGTCAACTTTCCCTGTGGGAGGAAACCGGAGTACCCGGGGAAAACCCACGGCTTTCGGCAGAGCGTTGACCTTTACTCTTTTCACATGGGGACTGGGTTCGAGTCGCACTGAGAAGGTACTTAGTGAGACTCGAACCTGCAGCCTCAGAGGTGAAAGGCAAGTGCGCTAACCACTTGGCCACCGAAGCCCCTTGGCCACCGAAGCCCCTTGGCCACCGAAGCCCCTTGGCCACCGAAGCCCCTGTTGGTCATATAAGGGCCCTGCTCTGTCTGCAAATCCTTCTATGATGCCTTTCTTCATAGAGAAAGCATTAATGTTAGTGTGTGCACCTTTTCGTATAACCAACCATACACTCGACCTGCTTCGTCTTCCTATCAACATTCTGCTTCAAATTTCACACCGGTAAAATGTCTCCTTCTTGCTCTTCCTTTGGAAACTGAATTATTTCTTTTCAAGTATTCCTTTCGAATGTTCCTTCTTACACTTCAATTCGCTGTCGTCGGCATGCCAATACCACTGATATAAAGGGTACGGTGAGGTATTCATTGCTCGAATCTGAAACTATTCCATGTAAATGATCGCAATCTCACCCGTTGTCCTGAGACCTGGACCATTTTCCAGGATATAATGCTTTCCATTATATTCAGAGTATATTAAGTTTTAACTTAATAAAAACATTCACTTTAGCAATCCCATGATCGAATCAACGCTCAACTCCGTTACTTTTTTCTTCAGTGTTTTATTTTCTCTCAATAATCCTTCTACAAGTTCCAATGCTTTATTTATCGGAATTGATGGGTAATGGTTATGTACATCATAGCTAACGATTCAATACTCCATTCCAATCTCCAGTTTTTGACTTTCATTTTTAATTCTCTCGAATTCCTTACGAAAAGGTCACTCATTAAAATAGGTATATTAGGAATCTTGAAATCCTTTCGAATGGCGATCCCATAGTCGAAGCTACCCCTCTCAATGTCACCCTGTCTTTGTGAATCTTTGGTAAACCTGACAATCTCGAGGCATGGCAGTCTTTCGGTTTCAAATAATTAATTCGACAATTCCTCCGACAATTTATTCTTTTCCACAATCTTTCCAATAATCCTTGCCATTCACTAAAACTGCCGAAAACATTGCAAATGTAAAAAACTATACCTTTATATGACCCTGGAATTTTAATAATAATCTAAATCAAATAATAAATAATACTGTATTAACATCGATGCATGGTTTTATATTTTAACGCGTTTTTGCCACGTACAGTATTTGCTCAATATTTTTATGTAAATATTGGAAATTTTTCTTTCTACTTTTTGCATTTATAACTCATCGTTTTGAGTTTAGTAAAAATTCATTTAGATACTTAGATTGCACATGTTAATGCATAATAAATGCCTGCCAAGAAAAAAACAAGAGTGCGTAAACACAATTAAATTGAATTTTTAATTACCAGGCGCACAAAATTATGTGCTTATTAATTAACAATATGCAATAGGATGGCGCATAATTAGCTAAGCCTGAGCAACCCGAAGTGTCCTATATACAATGCAATTATCCCCGAGCCAGCGGCGCGGAGCGCCGTTCCGGCCGTAAGCCCGGGGCGAGGGTACTAATTCCGTCCGGCTATTTACACCTGGGGAAGCGAAAGCATTAGCGAAGTCTAAAGTTCATCAATGATCGCGGGCGTGGCTCACCAACGAAGTTTCGGTGGGTGGTCATCCTCACTGATCTCAAAAATATGACTGTTTGCCAGGGGTGGAATAAACAAGATTTCAATTTTCAAAAGCATATATTTCGAAAATCTCGTTTCACACAATGAGCTTTGAAGCAGTTTTGTTTGAAGAAATGAAAATAATTGATTTACTGTGGAAAATCGTGGAATATAGGGCAAGTTTGCTTTGAATGTTTAATGTTTATGAATTTTGTTGCTTTAATTTTTTGCGTATAAAAACATGCACTGCTTTCCTTTTCAATGGCAATGAAGCTGTATTAAAGCTTGCTAAATTACCCTGTTTAATTTAGGAAAAAAGGTAAAATGTAAAGGAAATGCAAATTAATTTGAAAACCGAACTGAAATTACTCAACAATTTCAACTTATTTTGTTTTATAAAGTAAAAACAGTTTATCGGAAAAAGCAGTTTATAGTTTAATATTAAAATGAACATTTCAAAACATTTTACGAAGCGATTCAGGTTAAATTTTACATTAAATCAAAACTCACAAAATGCAGAACAACATACCTACAGTACACATTTCGGAAATTTATTGTTATATAGTTAAAAGCAATAATCTTTCAACTATTTTTGGCGTGTTGTACAAAAAATATAATAAAAATTAAATTTATCGTGTTGCCATGGCAACACTGACGTAAACGCGAGCCTGCGTTCAGGGTTAATTGATCAACTACTAATACTTCATGCAACATCAATGTTTGGAAAATACATGCGAGGGGTTGCTGCATGCATGTATTTCTAGTATTTGCAGAAAGGAAAGTTAGCTCTCTTTAGTTTTGGGTTATTAGATTAAGCGCATGTTCTTACCAGAAGTAATAGTCCATACAACTCTCACTAACAGACTCGCGTTCAAAAAGCATGGTTAATTCACTCAGTAAAGGGAACGGAAAGTGAAAGGAAAATCTCTTCTCCTCGTTTGCGAGTAAACTGTTGGGCCTACATCACGTACAATCTGCAGAAATGATTCGACACTTTCCCCCGTTAAATTCCAAAACAGACATTGCTCTAATTCATTGAAAAAGTCGCGACCATAGCATGAACACCGAACGCACAAGATTGGGAAACAATACTCCCTCCATACGTGTCTTTGATGTTTGCTTGGGGGCATGCTGTTGTCAGGAATAATAATTTGCAGAAACTTTCAAGTAATAACTCGCGGTTAAAGGCCATGTTACACGGTGCAATTTTTCTTGCTACTTGCAATGCAATTCTACTCTTGAGAGATGTTAATTAGTGAAATCAGGGAAGAATTTGAGAAAACATCAGCGGAGTGTAATGAAAACTGGAATTTGGCAATTTTACATCTCTCAAGAGTAGAATTGCATTGCAAGTTGCAAGAAAAATTGCACCGTGTAACATGGCCTTAACAGTGCATGGTTTATTTCATCATTCTTCTTCTAACAATTCAATGCCTCCACTCAGCACAGGTATATGCACGGAGAATAAAATGTTACCCAAAATTGCTAAACACTGCAGAGCGGTTGCAATCACAGTAAATCGCCTACCATGGCTACGGTTGAAATGATTTAAAAAACACGTATATTTGCATAAATAAAGTAAATATACCAACGTAAAATGTCGTGTTTTGTGATTGACTTCATGAAAAATATAGTGATCAGTGTTTATCATAACTCGTTCTTTAGAAAGGTAATTTCTATAGTTCATTGTCTATAATTTTATTGTTATGATAAACCAATCACAAAGCCATGTTCGTATAGGTTGGACCCAATGTAGCTACATTATTAAGTTAACTGAATATTCGTTCGCTAACGTCGAGTTGTGCATGTCAACTATTAAGACAATAGATAATGAGATGATAAACCTCATTAAGCTTCATTATCTATTGTTTGACCGAAATTCGACATATAAAACAGGCCTAACACGCAGATGCCTGCACATAGTAGGTGACTACCTACCTACGCAACGTATGACTTGCACTCATTAAGCCTCGTTTTTGTTGATTAGGTGATACCTTATAGGTCTTGGATGTCGATGAGAGATAGATATCTAAAACACATCAAGCCTAAAAGACTGCAACGTTCAAAACGTCGTGACAATGAACCTACTAATAACAATGGTAAGACAGGTTTAGATCGCGAATCCACCTGCAAATTACAGTAAACACTATAAGCTATAATGAGCATGTTTTTTATTGGCGCCCTCAAACAAATACTAATCAGTGTTTGTGACACATTCTTTAGAAAATGTATTCTTTAGTTTTTATTGCGATTCATTGTTGTTACCAACCAATCGCAGAACCTGTTCTTATGGCCTCGTGGTGCCCCGCAAATTTGCCGGATGAGGGCGGAATTCCCGCGGTGGGTATAAGTACCCAATGCGATGGATGATATAATAGTTATACCATCCGGTATAGAAATCTGGAGCTTCTATTATAAAAACCTAACGTGGCTATTCTCAGGAAATATTGTGGGGACATTTTTAGGGTACCCTATATTAAACTAAAATTAAAGAATTAGACAAGCTGAAAATACAGACATCACCAGCGGCGACTTGTTAATAGCGTGTAAAAATAACTGAAAACAGGCAATTTGGTTAAAATACCGGAATATGATATGAATTACAAAGCAGCTTGGCTTATAGTGGTATATAAATTGACCGCCAACTTGAATTTGGGACATTCAATACAATCGTGTAATATTCAGGGGTATTTTGCGGGGGTGGGGGAATAGGGGGATTCCCCCCGAAATCTGAAAATAGCTAAATTTTGGGGAGGGGCGGAGCATTTCCACCCAAAATGGAATATGAACATCATTAATATTAAACTGGTAAGTGATAAGGCATAACCTTGAGTATAAAAATGGGTAATCACTTGGAGGTGCAGTTGGTGAACCCAGACATCATTTCTATCCCCTCTCTTGGAAATAGGTGAGGGTAGGTCTGGGTTTGTGAGTATAGGAGGGGAAATCCCCACCCCCCCCCAATAAAAAAAAAACCTGAGATTTTTTTTTGGGGAGGGAGCTCCCACCCAAGTCCCAAAACCTAAAATACCCCTAAATATTAATCCTTTGACTACTCTGGTTGACAGATTTACAGCATAGAATGAAATGTAAAATCTTCGATAATGACTCGGAAGACGATAGAAGCGTCTGTACGTCAACAACTGACGGAGATCTTAATGAGAACATTCCAAAGTCGCCCAGTTTAGAAAAAGGATGTACTCGATCAGAAGGTCAAATACCAGACGCGTGTAAAGAAATTAGACCAACTGAAACCGGAAATGACGACGATGTTTGTTCCACAAGTGAAAGCAAGAGTGATTTATCATATGCGGCACTTTCGCCATTCGACAGACGTCTGCTTGTTGTAGTTAAAAAAGGGCTTGAACAACGTAGTAGATTGCAGGAATTAAGGGAACAGGAGGAATTGAGGCAAAAGAAGGAAATAAGGGGGAAAGCTGGAATGAAAGAAAAAGCGGAAATGCTGACAGAACAAACAGAATGTTCCAACGTTGTCACAGGTTTGAATTTACATGTATTGTTTAAGTGCCCCTAACGCCAAAATTCTTATTGTCTCATTGGAAAGAATATTTCGTACTGAAGAGGAACCACCACTTTCAGATTTTCCTCGATTTTGAGTTATTTCGGTTTCTATTATATGCAAATTACCTTCAATTACGTTACACGTGCATTCTGTTGAATTTGAAGTATATTTAACAGTTATTCTACGACGAGAGTGAGTGGAATAACTATTCGACGAGAGTGAGTGGAATAACTGTTTTATTATATACAGAAGGTCTGAATTCAAAGACTTTGCTTTTCCGTTATTTTCAATATTTTTCTATTTTGTTTTTATCTTCGCTTTTTCGGCCGATTATTTTTTCAATTGTTTCTTCCTGTAAAGGCTATAAAAAGCGAACAACTTGCCGTTTTCTCGTTCGCAAAACGTCGGAAATTCAGTTTGAGCAGCCATTTTGTTTTTCTCTGCTAGCAGGATATGAGCTAATATCCTGCTAGTAAAGAACCAATCAGATTGCAGATTACCTCATATCCAGACCTTGTGTATATAATAAAGAAGTATATTCTGTACTTTCAATTGAAATCTTTTTATCGTTCATTATCAAATGAACAAAATGTGTAAATAAAGAATGTGTGCCTCTTGTATTACTGTCGATGCAATGGAAGTGTTGATAAAATATTGCACCAATTCCTTTCCTCAAGTTGATCAGTTCATTTGATAGAAAATTGATCAACTTCCTGTTACTTTTAAATGAACCAATTAGATTTCGTTTCAGAACCGATTGACCAATAGGCAACGCACAGGAAGTAAAAAGAAATTTGAATTCGTATGAATTGATCAACTTGAGGAAATGAATTCATGCATTATTTTATCAACACTTCCATTGCATCGACAGTAAACACCAAATGTGGATAATTTTTGGTGTTTTCAAGTCTAAGATGTTTCCAAAGTGTAATCCATGACACCACTTTTATACACTTACTTCATAGATCAACTGAATGTTAGCGACCAGGAACTAGCAGTCTTAAAAATGGTTGTAAGTACCAATACTGTAAACAGATGTATAGCAGAACATGCGTTTCAATTTGTTAATGTTTGCGACTATAGTCAGTTATTTGTGGCTATTCTCCTGCTGCCAATTGCGTATAGACTAACGAAATGCAGTATCGATACTGAAATAAAGTATATACATGGGTGTAGAAGTGGTGGTGGTGGGGGGGGAGAGGGGAGGTTGCTCAGGGAAGCTCATAAAAGCTGAGCCCGCCCCCCCCTCTCCTTGTTAAAAATGTCATGCTGATTTGGGGAGCTAACCTCCTAAGAGGTAACCTGAAAAGTTCTTTGCAACCGTTGCTGCAGTGTTGATTTGATGCGGTAATGATGTTAGCAATCTGTACTTGATTACTATGATTATACTATTCTTTGTTTGCAATCACGTGGCTTTTCATCCACATGATGGGCAATCGGACAACTTGTGGACGAATATGAAATAGCTTCGGTATATCGGAATCCTTTATTTTACGTTCTTTCGTAAGTCCTTTCCTTTCATATTTATCATGTTGGCCCTTCCATGCCTTGTTACTCTCACGTCTTGTCACCTCGCCTCCTTTTAGTGCCCCTGTTATCAATTTAGTTCTACATCACTGAGTATATGTATCCAGACAGTGTAAAAATTACCTAAAATAGTAATGAGTAAAAATTACAATTACATCTCTGATAAAGTAATTATATTAGAAAAATTACAAATTATGTACTTTCAAATGTACTGAATTACAAATTCCCAGATTACTTTTTATTTAGGTATCAATAAAATTGGATAAATTACTCAGTTTTGCTGAAATTATTCAACTTCAATTAGGAATGCCAATCAGGATTGATTAGAATTTGGTCCCCATTAGCAAGCTTCATTTCTCCCTTTCGTTTCACTGAATTTATCCCGCAGTGCCCCCTCGCTCTATTCTTTCATAATTTCTATGGATATAACGGCACTAGCCTATATATACAACACTCTGGCATTCGTCTTGTGTAATATTTTGTATAAATGACCAACATATATGCCATATACATCAATATTTGACTTGTTTAAGCCGTCGAATTAGGTTCAATTTATTTATTTACGGGCATCTTTTGAGCAAAATTCAAAACATTTCCCTCCTTATTTTGTTGTCAAACCATCGAATCATGACAATATAGCGAAGTAGTATCGAGAGTGACGTCATGATCAAATATCTCCCTCCTCGCTCAACGAATTTTTCTCTTCAATGCATGCGCTGCGCGGTCTTTTAATCGAAAAAGTCGTTCAATTACAACATCGGCCTCGGACCATATGCAGCAGTGCGCTTTGTGATCAATTTTAAGAGTAAATTACTTTGAATATGCAGTTTTCCAGAGTAAAGAAGACAGATACGAACAATTCACAGTTTCTATACAGGACTTTGAAAATTATTGTCAGAATTTACTCTTAAAGTTTATGACAAAGCGTATACTGCTGTGTTCCCTTGCTCTGAGGTCAAATTATTGTTATTAAAAATGCCCATCGTATCATAATTTTTGAATTTGTTATAGAGTTTGATCAGGACTAAAACGAAGGCTTCTTTGCCTCAAATCTTCTTCGGTTTGTTCCGAACTAATGCTAATGTGGAGGATACAGTAACGTTTCTTGATAATAAAGAAACCAAGAACGGTAAGTACAATAAAAATTCAATGTTTACTTCAGTTACTTGCTAAAAGTTTGAATAGAAGCCAGAAAGTTTTATTCCATTACAGACTTTTCCAATAAGTTGGTACATGTTCAACTGTGCAATTAGTTTAAGAGGAGAATCTTTTGTATGTTACGCAACACGAGCTCAAAACTAATGGATATACTTTTCCACTTGGTTATATCATGGATAATAAAATAAATGGATAGGACTCTAGCTGACGTAAGCAAAAACAACCTGGTTGCAATCTGTGACGTCACGCGTATTGCAAAGGCATTTTTGTTGTTTCGCTATACTTTCCGCTTTAAAAGAGTAATATTGAAGCATAAACTGGTCTAATTGTTTTAAAAACATGCCTAAGCCACGACAAAGTATTCAAGGTAAATGTTTTTCGTCTTTGTTTTGTATTTTTTCACATTTGTAGCTACGAAATTGGCGTCCCCAATTTTAACGAAATTTGGGATGCATTTTTCACTGTTTAGTGCTTGAAATATTTGCTAAAAATTGACTGGGAATACTTAGAGATTTCATCGTAGAATGGCGTAGTTATATTCACTTGCTTTTTTACTAAAATGTTTAGCTGTATTATTGCTAAACATGCCGTTTTTGAGAATTTGGTTTGCAACTAGGTTTCAACATCCAATCACGCCATCAGCTCATTGAAAACATTAGGTTACGTCAGCTAGTTTCCTATCCATTTATTTTATTATCCATGGTTATATGACTATATTCAATTTTTTAAATTTTTGATATACGTTTCTCAAGCGGCAAACAAGTTTAAAAAGTATGTTTAGTGCTTTATCTGTAAAATTATGTTAAAATGAAGAGATTTTAGATGGCACGCCAAAGAGAAAATGATGTCCAAAATTCAGTAAGTTTTGATAACTGTATTTAAATTGACAATATTTAACTATGAAGAGAACTTATCTCGCTTTGGCTTGTCCACCTTGCGTTGTAGACGTCGCGCCCACTGTCTAAAACTTTTTAATTCAATTTCTAGTCCCTCTCACAAATTGTATAACCTTTTAACTCCAAAACATCAGCCTAAAAAACAATTTATGATGTGTTCGCTGTTTTAACATTCCGCTTTGTAACACTGATCGCTTTAATAAATCCTTCATTCCTTCTATGTCCAAGTTTGTAAATTACCATTAGTTTTTAACCTTTAAGTTTACTAATAATATAATATTAATCTGTTATCTTTGTAAATAAATTAACATAATAATCTTTGTAAATACTCGATTCAGCCATTGGGCTGCTATATAGTTTGATTTTAATAAACAATCTATTTATCATGCCTCCTGATGTTGTGAACCATCGTGCACAAGTTATCCATTGGGTTGAGTTCAGGACTTTTTCCCAACACGGTTGTTGGTTTTCAAAAGCATTCCTTCCCATTGGGTGACGACAGAAAACACAAATGATTGGGTACAATTTTATAAGATGATAGCATGTCATTGGATTAGAAAAATGTGCTGGTATATATAAGGAACCATGCAGAAATCGTGCAACAAGCTCTGAGGTAGCACAAAAAGTCCTAAACTCAACCCAATGGAAAATCGATGAGTTGTTCACAAATAAAAGTAAGCAAAGGAAACCCCGGAAGCACAGAATGCCGGAAGCAAGGACATCTGCTGAACTAGAGATTGTTGTTCGGAAAGATGGGAATAAATTCCCAGACAAATTGTTAAGATGAGCAAAGAAGGTCCTGAAAGTGCAGGGATTTGCAACTATACATATTGAGAGATATACGCCTAACCTATTTTTAATATTATCTGATACATTTTGTTTAAATAAGCTCAGATGAAATCATGCTAACCAGTTATTAAACTAAATGCATAGTTGATAAAATAGACAGAAATCTCGACCTAAAATATTAATTATACAGTGATAAGGTTATTGTGATTCTATTGCTCTCAACCAATGATATTTGATTTTCATATATAATATAACTTCATATATAGTTTGGACTGCGCAAGAAGATCAAATGCTGCAGGGAAACGATATGGAAGAGGTGGAAAATATTATTAATAAACGTGGACATCTGGCTGTTAAACGACGATTAAATTTTATTGAAAGAAGAGCTACAGTATAGCAAAGAAACCTACATGAATTTATATTTTGTACCATGCACATACCAGTAAGAAATCAATTGCTGCAGGGAAGAGATGTAAAAGGGGTAGAAAATATTATTGAAAAGTTAGATAATTCGCTGTAGGACAATGTTATATTTCTGTACGTTGAACGTGACGCACCTGTTTGTAAGTAGAAGATGATTAGACAATTGTTCAAAAATGACATCTAACTTTCTCTTTCTATACTATCTATACAAAATGTATCATATGCAGTGTAAATTTTACAAATATAGTACACCATTGAGGCAGATCTTTATCCAAAGCATTTGCAATGAGATGAACCTTTACTCAAAATAATAATTTAAAAGCACGTAATTTAAACCTGTTGTTAATAATAGGTAGTTGCACAAACCTCAGAAGCCAACAAATCTCTTGACTGTGTTCGCCGCTCTTTTAGTAACATTAGACAGATTTAGAAAAGACGACGCGACCTCAAAGACGACGTGGATGTCGTCATTTGGCGCCAACTATCGTCCACTTCTGGTTTGCGACGTCGTCTTGGACGATTTCACGACGCGAAAATACAATCGTCCTCTCTAGAACGTCACAAATTTATGCTTCTTTTGAAAAAAATATGATAAAAATAAAAAAAGCATAATAAAAATCATCCTATTTTTTAATGATTCTAGTTAAAGTTTTTTCATTGACAAGGTTGTTTTTCTTGTATTTTACTAAATTTTGGACGTATTGATTTTCGACAAATACTTTCGGTCGCCATAACAAATCAACAAAACTGCAAGCATTGTTACAGGTAAACTACGTGAAGCGTTCCTCTTTTGAATTTCTAAATTGATTGCAATTTTCCTCATTACTTTTGCAATTTAAAAAACTCCCTTGCAAATCCCTTGAGGAAATTTGCAATGTTGCTAAAAGCCAATTAAATTTTCCTCAGTTCCTGTTAGAAGTTCTTAACTTCCTGTTACAATTTCCTAGCTTCTTGTTCTGTTCTGGGCGTTGCAATTGGCTAACAAAAATAATCGACCAATAACAACGCTCAAAACAGACAGGAAGTTAGGAAATTAAAACAGGAAGTTAGGAAAATTGAAAATGAAGTTTGTTTGCATTGGAATATTGCAACAGCCGATAGGAACATTGCAAATTCCCTCAAGGGATTTGCAAAGAGTTTTTCAAATTTGCAAAGCTAATGAGGAAAATTCCAAATGAGTTAGGAAGTCAAAAGAGGAACGCTTCACGTAGTTTACCTGTAATAACCACTTCAATACCGCTAGTATTCTTCACCAAAACAAACATTTTAGAACAAACTGAACTGAAGTTATATTAACAACTGTTTAAAATCAGGAAAACTTAAGATAGAAGAATAAAAGCAATTAAAAGCAGTAAAAACTCAATCAATTTTAGTTGCTCTGTCACAACACTCAACAGTGCAAAAAAGTAAACTATCGTAATCAGTATTAAATTTTACCAATATAAACGCTGATGCAATATTTATACTGAACAGTTGACAAACTTGATTGAATAGGCTACAAATAAAGCATTTAGCTTGTAAACAATACCTGCAGCTATTGTATTTATTCCAAATGATGCAACAATGAAAGTTCACTTTTCAAAATACCGAAATATACGTCTTTTTCTAAAAAAAAACTTATTGAATATTCGTTCATACTAATTCATCAGGAAACACTTGGCCAGTATTAGCCTTTTCTTGCTCGTATCTTGACAACTGATTGAGAGCAATACAGGAATGAGCCGGTAACAAGAAAACAAAAATTTGCTTCGAAAAAGACAAACAAACCGTCCCAGATTAAGGGAAGCCTCAAATATCGATTTTTTCCACGAGAAACGTCATATGTTCGTTTGGGGGTGGGGGGGTTGGCAGCTGTGACGTTTCTCTGTAAACATCATGGAAAAATTCGATAGTTTTTATCTTTGCAGAATATAAAAAAGAAAATAATTTGATACAAACAGCAGTCTATACATTCGTAATACCTGACCTGTTCTATACCTATGCATTTATATTATTACGGCTTCCTTGCATTGTAAACACTCAAATTTCAAGAAAGGCGCGCTAAAATTATCAATATTTCAATTTCATGCAAAAAAGTTGTTTTGAGAAACGTTGGAAATTTTGAAGTTCATATTTATAATAAAAAAAGAGTATGTCATATTCCTCGCGGAAGCATCGCCAATAGCCGACCGAAAAAATGTATATAGAAAATTACCTTATTCATGTATTTATTACCTACAAAATATCGATAAAATGTGTGACGTTTCTCATGGACAAAATCGATATGTGAGGCTTCCCTTAAAAACCTGGTCTGGAAGTGAACACGAGGTGCATACGTCATTTTCACGTCGTCTTAGACGTTGTGTCGTGTTTTCTAAATCTATCTATTAATGACGTTAACGTTCGCCGTATACTTTATAACTGGTTTATGCGCGATATACCAAGTCACGGGTGGCGTCACAAGTCAAGAGTGACGTCACACCAATAGGAGATAATGGAATTATATCATTTCGTTTTGTTCTTTGTTTTTTAAATAATACTAGTTTTAGCTACCTATTTGTTTTGGATCGTCAGGCTTTTTGGCTGGTGCATTTGGATCGTTTCCTTTTTGTAGATCATTCGGATCATTTGCTTTTTGGCTGGTGCATTTGGATCATTTGCTTTTGTGGATCATTTTGATCATTTGCTTTTGTGGATCATTTGGATCATTTGCTTTTTGTGGATCATTTGCTTTTTGTGGATCATTTAGATCATTTGCTTTTTGTGGATTATTTGGATCATTTGCTTTTTGTGGATCATTTAGATCATTTGCTTTTTGTGGATCATTTGGATCATTTGCTTTTTGTAGATCATTTGGATCATTTGCTTTTTGTAGATCATTTGGATCATTTGCTTTTTGTAGATCATTTGGATCATTTGCTTTTTGTGGATCATTTGGATCATTTGCTTTTTGTGGATCATTTGGATCATTTGCTTTTTGTGGATCACTCAGGTAGATTAATGCATGGGTCAAGTTTCAGCCAAGGTCGAAATATGGGTCTACCAAGTTGGGCGCGATTTTTAAAAAGTAAACAAGGTTAGGTTTAACCTGTCATGGTTTAATGTTATAGATTTTAACCTGGTGAATTTTTTACCGATTTTTATTTTATTATTCGTTCTTCACATGAGCAGTTATATAGCCTTAAACGTCAATAAATACAGGTTAAATGGAAACCCATTCTGCGGACTCATAAAATCGCTTTCCCCAATTGCCATTTTGGTTTAATGTTGTACATAGCATCTTGTACTAAACGAATCTAACTTGCTTTGTTGTCTAGATGGCTAAACAAAGTAAATATTTTGCGTGTTATGTCAATTTATTCCGTAACTGTGCGTATTTATTTAAATATATTTTGAATATTCGTGTTAATGTAGGTATATCAAGTTATGACTATCAAGTTTGTGTTGTGCTTTATCTATTTAGCATAAAATTATCGTTGCTTATGTATTGTAACCTTGTCCGCAAAACGGGCGAAAGTCATAGACCAGCGGGAGTCCGCATTGTCGATTATAATTAGTTGCGCAATAAAATATGAAACTACAACTTTATAATATGAAATACAACATGAAATTGTTGCATTTATATTGACTTGCGTCTTGCGCAACTAATTATAATCGACAATGCGGACTCCCGCTGGTCGTAAATAATACGGCTTAATGGCGATAGCTTTCTTTCTATATTTGATACAAACTATGACTTTCGCCCGTTTTGCGGACAAGGTTAAAATACATAAGCAACGACAATTTTATGCTAAATAGATAAAGCACAACACAAACTTGATAGTCATAACTTGATATACCTACATTAACACGAATATTCAAAATATAAATACGCACAGTTACGGAATAAATTGACATAAAACGCAAAATATTTACTTTGTTTAGCCATCTAGACAACAAAGCAAGTTAGATTCGTTTAGTACAAGATGCTATGTACAACATTAAACCAAAATGGCAATTGGGGAAAGCGAATTTATGAGTCCGCACAATGGGTTTCCATTTAAAATGTGTTTATTGACGTTTTAGGCTATATAACTGCTCATGTGATTGTGAAGAACGAATAATAGAATTAAAATCGGTAAAAAATTCACCAGGTCAAAATCTATAACATTAAACCATGACAGGTTAAACTTAACCTTGTTTTCTTTTTAAAAATCGAGCCCAACTTGGTATACCCATATTTCGACCTTGGCTGAAACTTGACCCATGCATTAATCTACCTGAGCATTTGGATCATTTGCAATTCAATCCGCCAGGCGCCAGAACAAAAATCAAACTTGCGCGTACGGCGCAACCAGCATTATATAAACAATCAGTCATCTGTAGGTACTATTGCGGTGCAGGGGACGTTTAAGCGATAAATAGTACTGTATTATTTAAAATAAAGCTTTTGATATAAACGTTTAGTTGCTTTCTTGCGATATACGAAATCCATGCGGCTGGTGGTCCGTTATTTAGAAATAGACCTAAGTACATGTGTTCGAAGCTTTCAACACGACACTGAGACTGAAAGACCTGAAAATATAGCTAAACTACAAATTTAACGAACAGAAAATATTTGCGTAGTAGCGTTAGACTAGGAAGCTATTTTGGTTGGTTTAAAACAAACGAGCGTAGTCAGCGTCTATGAGGATGATTGTGTGACATATTTGCAGCCTTGCAGTGTTTCCGTGTGTGAGCGACAGTGTCGAAGCTAAATTAAAAGATAATTAGAAGCTAAATTAAACGATATGTATATGATTACAATGCGCGCATTATGTATTACGGCTGAAAAGTGTAGAGGTATCATATTCTGTCAAAATAACAGCGGATAGCGCGCTCGGTTGGCAAATAGCCCGACATCGCACAAATCATTTCGGTTTTCAATCGCAAAATCCCAAATCGTAGCAATTTATGGAATATTTCCGAACGCCACATAAACATGAAATGTTTGTCTATCTTTAAGGGCCACGAACATATACTAGGAGATAAAATAGAAAAATTTGAGGCTCGAGCGTTGGCCACCGACAGCGTAGAATTTATAGCTCAATCAATATGTTTGTATCAGACATATGCAATCGACATAGTTACATTCACGACGTTCATGATAGGGACTATCACACTTGCAAAGCTAATAAACCTATATCCTATAACTTAAGACATTTTATCATCAAACAATACATCTATAGACTTATTAGACTATACGAAACGGAAACATTTCAGTACTTGTTATACTATATAGATAACAGCAAGATAAAAAAACAGCATGTATTTTACTTTATTACTGCATGGAGATTTGTTTTTTTAAATTTTCCTGTATTTATCTAGCGCATAAATGGAAAAAAGTACGAAAAAAATATTAAAAATAAAAATAATATTTTCGTGAAAAAAATGCGTTTTCGGCACATTTTATGACCCACGACTTTACCAAAGACTTTACCCACGACTTTACTCACGACACACGACTTTTAACCCACGCCACACGACATATAGGGACACTCCTTCGATTATATAGGATCACTATTCAAACTAGAATAACTATAGATGTATAAATCTTCAAACTAGAATAACTATAGATGATGTTGAAATTATGTTAGCCTAATACACTTACATTCCTTGACGCAGTTCTTGCTACATAACACACCAAAATCCACCCGAAATGTTGACCACATGCAACAGGGATAGATACAACCATTATATACAATCGGAAAAGATTTTATTGAATAATTGAATTAATATCTAAAGTATTTAAGCGAGCCTTTTGTGAAACAGAACATTATGTATACACAGTGTATGGCGCAAACACGTGGAAGTTGGATATGATTTGACCATAATATACCTTTAAATAATTCAATAACCCATAATTTCAACATCTATAGTTATTCTAATTTGAATAGTGATCCTATATAATCGAAGAGATCTTTTGAAACACCGGATTTATGAAATAGTACAACAGGAATTTGAATCTGTTTTCTGACTTCGTTAATGATTCGTGGATCATGGGAAACGCACAAATACACAGACGCACAAATACACAGACGGATCACACAAATACACAGACGGATCACACAAATACACAGACGAAACCAGGAGAACACGCTCGTGAATACAAAATAAGTTCTCTGGATTGTTCCTATCGTTGCTACCATCTTTCCATTTCCAGTGCCTTAGTGCAGAGTGACAATTGGGGCATGTTATTTGACCAAAGTTGTTTGTATGAAACAGTGGGTTCCACAAGATGACTGAAGGAATAACGTTGTTTATCCAGTTATGTTTGAAAAAAAAGGGCTACCTTCTGGGCAAATAAGAACTTGCGT